TGAGATCCACCCTGAGCCTGCCCTGACACAGCTCCAGCCATTCCCTGGGGGCTGTCCCTGCTCCCCCCAGAGCAGAGCTCAGTCCTGCCCCTCCTCTGCCCCTGCCCAGGCAGTTGGAACTGCAGGGAGGTCTCCCCTCAGTCCCCTCTTCTCCAGCTGAACACACCAAGTGCCCTCAGTGCCCTCACACAGTTTTAAATCAAGGCCCTTCTCCATCTCTTTGTCCTTCCTTTGGACACTCTCTGATGGCTTCATATCTTCCTTAGATTGTGGTGCCCCAAAACTGCCCTAATATTGAGGTGAGGCCACCCCATGTCAGAGAAGAGAGGGACAATCCCCTCCCTGATCCCCCAGGACAGGGTTGGTCCTCCTGGCTGCCAAGGCACTGCTGTCTCATGGTCTTTCCCAGCACTGCTTTCCAGCCTCTCATTCCCAGTCTGTCCATCCATCCAGGGTTGCCCCATCCCAGGGGCAGAATCTGGCACTTCCCTTTGTTGATCTTCCTGTGGTTGGTGATTGTCCAGTGCTCTGATTTGTTGAGGTCTCTCTGCAGGGCCTCCCTGCCTTCCAGGGAGTCAACAGCCCCTCCCAGTTTTATATCAACAGAAACAAATCTCACAAGTACTTTCCCAATCCCAGCATGGAAAATCCCCATCTCGAGGGCGGTGCTTGGATGAACTGTCTGGTTACGAAGTGTTGTGGGCTCACACCAACTCCACCCCATGGCAAGGACCAAATGCAGCCCAGGGGGCACACACATATAGTGTAAACAACGTAAATATTTATGCTACAGTTGTGATACTCAACATTTCTATCTCAGCCACGTATCTGCTGCAAGATGGGCTTGTCTCCAAGGGCTGGATGTGAAAGAAACCACTGCTTCTGAAAATGGCCTGAGGGATCTTCCACAGGTAGGACCTGAATCGTTTCTTCACAAAAGCATAGAGCAAGGGGTTGAGGCAGCAGTGGACAAAGGACAAGCTCTCCGTGACCTGCATGGCGTAGTCCAGCTTCCTACTGCTGTCACAGCTCCTGATCACACCGACATCCTGCAGGGAGTGGAGGATGAGGACAACGTTGTAGGGACACCACAGGGCAAAGAAGACACCCACCAGGGTGAAGACCAAGCAGAGGGCTCTCCTGGAGCCAGGCAGCTGCGACGTGCTGAGGACACAGGCGATGCGGGAGTAGCAGAACACCATCAGGAGGAAGGGCAAAAAGAAGCCCAGGACGTTTTGAGTGACCCGAAAGACGACTTTCCAAAATAAGTGGTCCTGGCCGTAATCCTGGGTGCACGTGGTGGTTTCGTTGTGGATTTGCCTTGTGCTGGTGAAGAGGCCATCAGGAATGGAGAGAAGTATGGAAAGGATCCATACCACCAACAAGCCGAGGACGGGCTTCCTCCACGACGCGGAGCTGTGGGCAGAGCAAGCGTGAACTATCTGCAGATACATGTCCAGACTCATGCAGCTCACCAAAAAGACACCACTGTAGAAGTTCAGAGTGTACATGGCATTTAAGACGGGGCACAAAGCGTCCCAGGGGACCCCCCGAGAAATGTGCAGAGCCCAGAAAGGAAGGGTCAGCAGCAGGAAGAAGTCTGAAACCACCAGGTTCAGCAGGTACACCTCGGTCATCTTCTTCTTCTTCTTCCTGAGGTACATCATGAGGACGACGAACAGGAGGGCATTCCCGGCCATGCCGAGCAGGAAGACCACGGTGTAAAAGGAAGGCAGGAACACCTGGGTGAAGGAGAGCACCCCCTCCTTGGTGCAGAGCCCGTACTGCCCATAATCCACCTCGTCCAGGTACTCGTAGGGGTACTCGCTGGAGTTGGCCCCATCCAGCCAGGGGGTCGTGATTGTCGTCGTCGCCACCAAGGTTGCATTTGGTGAGTGGCTGCCTAAGAGCAGAAGACAAGGGGAGGGGATCAAAGCGTTTGAATCCACACAGGAAGCAAACACCACGTCGTGGAGGGTTGTCCTTTAGATCGCAGAATCATAGAATTGTAGAATGGTTTGGGTTGGAAGGGACCTTATGGGTCATCTCGTTCCACCCCCTGCCATGGGCAGGGACACCTTCCACTAGCCCAGGTTGCTCCAAGCCCTGTCCAACCTGGCCTTGGACACTTCCAGAGATGGGGCAGCCACAGCTTCTCTGGGCAACCTGTGCCAGTCCCTCACAGCAAAGAATCTTCTCCTAATATCCAATCTAAACCTACCCTATTTTAGTTTGAATCCATTCCCCCTTGTCTTGTCACTCTGTGCTCTTGTAAAAAAGTCTCTCTTGGTCTTTCTTGTAGGCTCTCTTCAGGTACTGAAAGTTCAGAGGTTTAAATTTCTATCCACTTTCTGGTAAGTATTCTGTGTCCTGCACTCCTTGGCCTTTGTTTAATTGTGAGGACAACTGTCTACATAGACATCAAAAAAACCTAAATTCTGCTTTCCCTACTCTGAAATATAAAGCTTGAAATTCAGTGATCACAGGCTCCTCTGACATAACCCACTACCTCCTCCTGACACCGGAACAAGCTTTTGAGGAAGTTTGTGCTCTCAGTTACAGGAAATCCACCACCACACCTCGCTGTGAGCTGCTTATGTTCACCTGGGTCACTACTGAGAAAGGGCCACCTCAGTCCTTGGTGAAGCAGAACCTGCCACCAGCACCTTTGTGTTGGTGGGGCTGTTCCCAGAGGGGAAATGCTGAACATCTCCCAGCTCCTGGTGGGGCACTGACCACTCTCTGTGCCAGCTCTAGGACACCAAGACATAGATTCTTGTAAAAAGTATTAGTAAGTGGAAAACATAAAATCAGAGATTCAGGGAATCCCAGAATGGTTTGGGCTGGAAGGGACCTTAAAGACCATCTCATTCCAACCCCCTGGGCTGGGACACCTTTCACTAGAATAGGTTGCTCAAAGACTCATCCAAGGTTAAGGACAGGTAGGCACCAGAATCAAGTCCTGAATCAAGGTTAGAGGCAGAGATTTAGCTGGAAGAATGTTATTGGAATCGATTCTGCACGAGCCAAGGCACGAGACATCCCCCGCACTCGGACACTCCCCAGGACTGGCCTCAGTTGTTTAGACAGCTGCAGCCCAGATGTCGGGGGATGATCAGTGATCTGCAGCTTCCTATTTCCGGATTCTGATTTTCGGAGTGAAAAGCCCACCACACAAACAAGAACACTGCCAGGGTTTCAAAAGAAGAGCCCATCTGCCACGGTGGGAATGGGATCTGCCTGAGCCATCACCCCCTGTCAGTACCATGTCTGCAGTTTCTCCTCCAGGACCTGTCTGTCCCATTTCCCAAGAGACCTGGAGCCACTGAGTAATGAGAAAATGAAGCTGTTGGTCTCTGGTTGTCCTCCCAAGGAGGACACATCCCATGATGGCCCTGCAAGTTGTAGGGATGGTTCCCTCCCCACAAACATCCCAGAAAAGGGGAGCCCCTCCACCCCACATGGATTAAGGAAAGCTCCCAAGGCTCCAAGCAGGGGGTTGAGGATGACTGTGGATGTGCAGCTGGAAGGGGTGAAGCTCTGGACATACCTGCTGTGGTCCCACGCCTAAAATTGCTTAAATACCCATTCCAGGAAACTCCAGGCAGCTGAAAAGAAAATAAAAAGTGATTTCAGCTGTGTTGAAATGTTTTCTTGCTGTCTCACAGCTCTTTGGCAAGAGCTGCAGGGCACTTCAGACAGAGCAGGGATGGAGAGCAGGGATCTGCCACGGCAGAGTGTTTGTCTGGGACTTGTTCTGGGAATGAGCTTTTTAAAATTTTTTTCCTGTATCATATTTTGGAAGAAATTCACCCCCAGCCATGTATAGCTGTGGCTCTAGAACATTCCTCACAGAGAGGAAACCAAAGCTGCCCACCCCGCCAATCAACCCAACCAGAATGTGAAATACCCTTCCCCTCACACCCTCTGTGCCCACACCAGGACAAGCTGCTCCCAAAATTTACATTTCTGTCTCTTCCAGCCTTTTCTCCCTCTGCCACATCCTTCTCCCTCCCTATCAGCCTGGCACTGACAATCCACACCCCTGTCCCGGAGCTCAGAGCGGAGAACTGGCGAACACAACATGGGCTGACCTCACAAATTCATCCCAATCCCAAACTGGCCACCTTTCAAAAAGAAAGGAGAACCTCGCCAGGTTTCCCGCACAGCTTTGTCTACGAGCAAGAAGCAGAAAGTGCACTTACAGGAGTTTCTTCCCTTGTTTCCATCCTGCTGAAGGCTCGAATTAGGCTTTTAGGAACCTCTTTCACTTTTGTAAGAGCAAGTGGGCAGGAAATATGAGCTCCCTGGTTTTGTTTTTGCCTTTCCTGGTGTTGGTCAAGGATGACAGCAGTGGATAAATGGTCTCCACCCTGTCTGAGATCCTGTTGTAGGAATCTGCATGTTTTCCAGGAAACCTGAATAACTCACGTGCTCTTCAGATGCTGCAGGATCCTCATCCCCTGCAAGAGCAGAAATGGCCTCTGTCAAAGGTGTTTGCTGGAGAAATTTTTGACAGAAAAGTTATTGACAGAAAAGTTTTTTGACAGAAAAGTTTCTGACAGAAGTTTCTGACGCTTTGACAGAAGAGACCTCAGTCAAAGTGGTTTTTTGGAGAAGTTTCAGAACATTACTCTTGGTGAGTGGTCACCTTCCTTCTTGTTTTCTCATCTCACCACCAGGCAGGGCCATGGAAACATCCTGACCGTGCCAAGGCTTTCCCTGTGCCAGTCCTGGTGTGCTTTATACTCCCCAAACCACCCTGCTCGAGCAGCAGCGATGGCCACAGCTCTGCATCCAACCTGCCCCTTGTTAAGTGGATTCACAGAGAGAAATGTTATTTTTACCCATTTTCATGCATGTCACCATCAGCTGCTGCATTTATATATACCATACAATTATATATATTTTTTTAAATATAATAAATATATATGTGCAACACATCATCAGGGAGGAAGAACCACTCAAAGAGCCCAGACAGTGGGCACACACAGGGAGATGCTGTGGGTGACAGAGGTTTCATTAGCCCAGCAATGAAAATGAAATAAGTTTTTGTTTTTAATTTAGTTTCTGCCCTGAAGCAGGGAGTTAAATGTGCCTCTGAGAGTCACTGGAGAAAGTAGCCTTCGCTGTAATTTATTACAAGATTTTAACTCAATTTGGGGGCTGATAATTGCATAGATTTTTTTGTTTCCTTTGACTGCAGAGCCCTAATGGCTTTGGCAATTAAAGTAACAAGATTAGGGTTAATGGGAAGCACATTTAGAGAGATGGAACAAATGGTTGTCTGAGCCACTTTTTCTCATGCTGCCCAAAATGCCTCATGCTGACTCTGATTCCCCCTGCTCGGAGATGGAGAGGCACAACCACCACACTGCACAATTGGGCTTAGGGAGAAAAGGACTTTTCCTTGCTGTTTTGCCCTGATGCTCTGCACTCAGTTTTAGGGGAGGATTTAAGGCATCTCCAGGATCCCAGTGGATTTTTCCTCCTGCTCCAAAGTACGGTTGGCTTTGAATCAGGAGAAGCTTCTGGATTAACTCTGGGCTTCCAAATCCACTGCCTGGAACACAGCAGGTGGAAAACAATCTCTGCTTGAAAGCTGAAATTGGGGAAAACATAATGAGACAATCAGGAGGGAAAGGCAGAGAAGCTGTGGCTGCCCCATCCCTAGAAGTGTCCAAAGCCAGGTTGGATGGGGCTTGGAGCAACCTGGGCTGGTGGAAGGTGTCCCTACCCATGGCAGGGGTTGGAACAAGATGATCTTAAAGGTCCCTTCTAACTCAAAATATAACCTGGGATTCTGTGAAAACTGAGCTCTGACTTTGCCCTTTGCTGAAGAGCTTCCACTTGATGTCACAGAATCACAGGATGGTTCGGATTGGAAGGGACCTTAAAGATCATCCCATTCCACCCCCTGCCGTGGGCAGGGATACCTTCCACCAGCCCAGGTGGCTCCAAGCCCCGTCCAACCTGGCCTTGGACACTTGCAGGGATCCAGGGGCAGCCACAGCTTCTCTGGGCAACCTGTGCCAGGGTCTCCGCACCCTCACAGGGAGCAGTTCCTTCCGAAGATCCCCTCTAACACCGCCCCCGGGCACTTTGAAGCCATCCCCCCTTGTCCTGTCCCTCCAGGACCCTTCAGCGCCCCCTGCCGGCGGCCCCGCCCCCCGTGACCGCGCCGCAATGCGGAGCGCCCCGAGTGACGTCACGGCAGGCCCCGCCCCCCGACCCGTATAAGGCGGCTTTGGTGGCGTCCCCGCCCCTGATTGGCCGGCGGAGGGCGCGCGGCCGCGCGGCGCGCTGGGAGTTGTGGTCCCGACGGGGGGGCGGGGCCCGGCCGGCCTATAAGATCCGGGGGCGGGGCCTGGCGCGGCAGACGCGGCCGGTACCGGAGAGCGAGGGGAGCGCGGTGAGTACAGGGCTGGGGGGACGGGGACACCGGGGGACAGCTGGGGGATGCCCTGGGTACATCCAGGGGCAGAGGCGCGGAGGAGGATGAGGGGACTTGGGGCTGGAGCGAGGCGGGGTCCCCGTGTGGGGTGCGGGAACCGGGGGCTGCAGTGGGGCAGAGGCCGCATGTGGAGTGCGGGGACCTGGGGCTGCCGTGGGGAACGGTCCCCCTGTGGGGCTCGACTGGACCAGGGTCCCCGTGGGGGGAGCTGGGGCTGGAGTAGGGCAGAGGCCCGGAGTGGGGTAAATGTGCCTGGGGCAGGAGTGGGGAAGGGTCTCCGTGGGGGTCGCAGGGCCTGGGGCTGAAGTGGGGTACCACGTACCCGTGTGGGGCACAGGGACCTGGGCCTGGAGCGGGACAGGGTCTCTGTGTGGGTCTGGAGAGGGGGAAGGCAGCCTGGTGGTGCCCAGGGCCGCCGCCTTGCCGGGAGGGATGGTGGGACCTGTCACCTTCTCACCCTTGTGCCTCCCTCCGTGGGTGACACCTCTCACAGAGGGATCCTGTCACCTTCCCACCCGTGTTCCTCCCCCTGTGGGTGACACCTGTCACACAGACCTCCCTGCTGGGTGTCGGCAAGGTCAGGGCAGTCAGGGTGTGTTTCACACAGTTTCCTCTGCTCTGGGCCCACTCCGGTGTGAGCTGGAAGGTCGTGGAAACCTCTGGGGTGGATGAATTGATTCACTTTCAATACCCTTTTCTTGTGTAAATCCCACCCCTGGCTGTCTCCCCCTCTCCCGAGTGACCGGGTGCTCCTGTTTCCTTCTCCGAATGAGTCAGGCTAAAATTATAACTCTCATTTAGCAAACCAGGGTGGTTGTAGCAGGCACAGAGAGATCAAATCCTTTGTCCTGGCAGAGGAAATGGTCTGAGCCTTTAGTTTGAGAACCAGTCGGTCTGCTCACACGGGTGTGCAGGAAGTGCTGCGTAACCAGGGAGCGCAGCCACCTTTGAAATGTCTCTTTTGCCGGGGGTTACTGGCCCCTGCTTAAATGGGATTCCTGGTGGTTTATTCTGAGAGCTTGGAGTGCTTCCATGTGCCCCCGAGCTGTGTTTTGCTGGGGAGTGTGTTGGTGGCAAAACTGGAACAATAACAGTGGAGACTTTTCTAGCAAAGGCCTCTGTGGTGTCGCTGGGCAGGAATTGTTCATTGAATGGTGCTTATGCCGAGCACTAAGGGCAGAACAGGTCTGGGTGTAATCCATGTAATTCCCAGCATGAAAAGCTGGGATTTTCTGGAGAATGGTCTCACTGGTTTGGTGGTGATGGTTCTGTGAGTGGAGCCTTTCTCAAGGCTGTCGCTGCATTTATTTTCCTGGGAGGCAGGTGAGAAATCACCTGTGCCTGATTTCTCCTCCTGATGTCTCCTCACACGAGTCTACACCTATGGAGGGCTGCAGGACTCGCTCCAGCTCCTCAGGGGTGGCTGTTGTACATCCCTGTGTTCTCCAGGACTCTGGAATTACGCTGAGGTGGGACAGGCAGCTGAGGAGCCACCGGGCAGGGCTGACCTTGTGCAGCGGCTCCCGCTTCCCCGTGGTTGCTGTTCTTGGCAGGGAGTGAGAGGGGAGATGTGAACTCTGCTGAGGTCAGAGCTGCCATAAAGGAACAGCCCGCGAAAGCCAAGTGGTGTGGCATGGAATTCCTAAAAGGAAAGGCAGGCAATGGCCAAAGCTTTCTGTGGCTTCTCGCTGCCTGTGAGCGTGGGGGGGGGCACGTGACAGAAATCTGTTGCTTCCCCACTTCTTTTGTTTTTTTTTTTTTTTTGTTCTGTCCTGTTCTTACCAATCCTGGTAAGTATAACAATCCTGCTTCTCAAGGCTTCACTTGAATTAAATCACCTGTCCGTAGCTCCTGTGCTTGTATCTCACTGCCTGGATATTTGTGACTTGGGGGCAATACACAAGGGGTTTTTCTTTCCCTAAAGATTCTCTTAATTTGGGGTTTCTAAAACCTGAAGGGAGGCTTTTTGTCTTCACAGCCACCATGTCACCCAGCCAGGAATCCGTTTACCCTGAGTATGAGACTGACAGCAGCCAGACCTCGAAGCTGATAAGGAAATTTAAGGAGACGCCATTTGTGCCCATTGGTGAGTTCACAGGCAATCGATGTGATGTCAACAGCATCACTGTTCACCTTCCTCCTCTGAGCAGGAAATTACTGGGAAATTACTTCCCCATTTAGGCTTGGTGACAGCAGTAATCCTTCTGCCTGGAGTGGTATTTGTCCTGCAAGAAGGAGGGAAATTAATGAGGTCTGTTGCCTTAAATAGAAAACTCAGGCCTTAACAAGGAAAAAACCCCAAACCAACAAACCCTGAAATGTTTAGGTGAGCTTAGAAATGTGTTTAAGTGATGCTGTCTGGTAAGGAATGTTGTGCAGGGTTTCTGGGAATTATGTGATCACTAAGAAGCGACTTTAAAGCTAACAAAATACAAACTAGAAGGATTTAAATTACAGCCAGTCTGCTAAACATTTCACCCCTCTGCTGCCACCCCTTAGTTTAAAATGCATCCCTGTAGTAGTTTTTATGTTACCCCAGCTTGAAGAGCCAGTGGAGTTCTCAGCCTCTCAGCTGAGAGCCCCAAAAGCTGCTGAGGAGAGCAGGGATGGGTCTTGTTCATCCTGACAGCTTTCCTCTGACACCAGACACATTTTGATTTCCAGCCTCCTGAAATGAAGAGCAGTTGGGTCACTCGGGGTGAACTGTTCCAAGTGTTTGCCAGCAGATATCCGTCACTGGTTCCTGAGGTCACAGGACTTTGTCTCCCCCTTGCTCAGGCGTACTGTGAACTCCATGAGTTCAGGTTCCCTGAAACAGGTTGGCAGAACTCACCTTTGATCTGTGTCAGAGCTGGGTTGGAGGCCCTAAAACTCTTAATTGGTATTTAATGGAGGTACCACGTGAATTAAGGGCTTATGGCCTTCTGGTGGAGCTGGTAATACTCCAGGCTCAGGGAGACAAACTGCTTGTGCTCCTGTCAGTAAAATATACACAGCACTTAACACTCGGCAGCCACCTTTGAACTGTGTAAATAACTGTCCTGAAAATGGAATGAAATGGGAGGAATTGGAGAAGTTTGTGCATTCTGTGAGAGCATGGGGGTGCTGTGGTTGGAGCCGGCAAAGCTGGCGCCGTTTGCTCTCTCGAAGGACTGTCAGTGAACTCTGTCCCTGGGAAGGGGCCCTTGCTGAGCCTCCCTCCTCACAGCTTGGGGACAGCAGCATGTGACTTGTCCTGTCCCGGTGGCACCTGGCCAAATGTGACAGCGCCCAAAATAGCAGCCTCAGCAGGCGGGGGAGTACGTCAGGGAGCATCCCACGCTGAGGGACTGAGCAGCAGCTGAGTGGGATTGTTGGGTGCGAGCTTCCTTCCAGGAAAGGGGGTGCAAGGAGCCCTGGCTCTGTCTGAAAAATATCCAAGGAATTCCGATGCCTTGACCTGCTTTTTTGGCATTTTAATGCTGGTGAAAATCTCTTCCCTGCACTGACTTGTGCATTGAATGAGGTGGCACTGGAGTGGAAACAGGAGAGGGGCCAGGACTTGCCACTACACACACAAAAACAGAGGGAAACATGCTTATTTTAGGATGAGAAGCTCAAGTTGTGCCAGGGGAGTTTTAGAATGGATGTTAGAATAAATTTCTTCACAAAAACGGTTGTCAAGCACTGGCACAGGTGCTCAGGGCAGTGACGGAGGGATTTAAAAACCATTTAAAAGCCACATGGATGCGGCACTTGGGGACTTGGTTTAGTGGTGGCCTTGTGCTGGGGAACAGTTGGACTCAGTGATGTTAAAAAGGTCTTTTCCAACCTAAAGGATTCTATGATTCCCGGGACATTTTGTTTAGGTGGGGTCCCCTCACTCCTCTGGATGCCCCGGATGTCCCCTCAGCAGGATGTTCTCCTTGCCTTGCAGGGATGGCTGGGTTTGCTGCCGTGGTTGGGTACGGGCTGTACAGGCTGAAGCACAGAGGTGACATGAAAATGTCCCTTCACCTGATCCACATGCGAGTGGCAGCCCAGGGCTTCGTCGTGGGAGCCATAACGTGCGGTACGTACGGGATGGGAGCTGCCCTGGGAAGTGGCAAACCACGGGGAGCCTCTGGGATAACACGGTGTGTGTGACATGTCCTCGGGGTGGAAGTATCCAGAACGTTTATTTCAGGATGTTTGTGCTCGTTACTGGTGTTTGCTCAGCCTTTCTGGAGTTATCTGTTAAGTACAAGTATTTACTGTTAAACTGCACTGACCTTGAGAGTAGTGGTTTTGAATACTTCAAGATGTGGCATGTGAAGTTCTGCAAATGTGGAATTAGAGGCAAAGAAAAAAAACCACTTATCTGGCATTAATATTTTCCCCTGTTGCTGTTTCTGAATTTAATGTATTAGAAAATCAGCTTGTGTAGCCTGTGATATTATATATATTTTACATATATATATATATATGTATCTATCTCTGTCTCTCTAGATATATATATTTTCAGGACTGGACTTGTGTCCCTGAATGTCCTGAGTGATTTGTACATCCCAAGTCTCATCTAAGCATTGCAGCTGTGTATGTGTGGATATTCTGTATCCCTCGAGACGCTGTTTCTCCATACTGTATTCCCAGGAGGTACAGCAGGAAAGCCTGACTTTGGCTGCAAAGCAGACCAGAGTTGGGGTGGGATCTGCATGTTGATACACTGTATTTTCACAGCCAGTTTCTCTGCACATGAAGAGTTCTGCAGCCATCACTGCTATTAGGAAAAAATGCGGCAGAGGAGGAAGGGAAACATTTTTTCTCCTGCTGAGAATACCTGTTTCTGTTCAGATTTTAAACCCCATTGTTTCCTGTTTCACCTAGCTCTTCACTGTGCTTTTGTTTCTCTCTTTGCAGGTGTGCTGTACTCGATGTTCCGGGATTACGTGGTGAAGCCCAAGGAATAATGGAGAGTTGTCTGAAGCCTCTGTCCTGGTGGTGGCCTGTGCACTGCAGCTCCAAACCTCATACCAAGGGTTTCTTGAGCAAAAAAAAAAAAAAAAAAGAAAATAATATGTGGCATTAGAGATTTGTTCTATTTGTGTATGGTACACTGTGCTGAAGCTGGAGGCTTAAATGATTGTGCACTGGGGGAGTGGGTATTGGGGTCTGGTTCTCTCTGATTGACACCACCACATCCTAGTTTTTAGGGGATACAGTGGACTACAATCCCTTTATCTTACCCTTCAACTCAGTCCTAAAATTGGAGACTTCTTTGCCCAAAAACACAAAGCCTGAACTGGCTTCTGACAGAGAGTGTCAGGAGTGCCCTGCTGTCATTTTTTATCCTCTGCCTCCAACTTTGTAATTTAGAAGCTTCCAGTAGCACTAAATGACTTCTAAAATATTGAGAGATGTATATAAACATCTATTTTTTTTATTTAAGGCATGAGATAAGTACTTGGTATGTCGCAGCTATTTAAATGTTATATTTATTCATTGTTAATGAAGACACGGGCTCCCTATTTTTGCTATATCAGATCCTCGGATTAGTGTATTTTGTAACTTTATTTACAGTGTTCTTCTGAATAACATCTAAATGTAACATTTAAAATACATATTGTGAAAACTAAGCCTTGATTTGGTGTCCTAATGCTTTTAAAGTGTTCGACCCAGCTCTGGTTTCTGCAGTATTGTTCCCCCATAGGAAGTTTTAAAATACTTAAATCTGAAAAGCCCCATCACCTCTGAGGTGTTAAAGCCCTTCCCTGCGAGTTATTTTACACTCACCTCCCCCTTGTACCTCCAACAGCAGTCACAAAAATAAAAGCCAATTTATAAAAAAAACCCCTCATTTTCTCCTGTTAGCATACATTCCATGGTGGCAGTATCAGATGTTACAGGTGTCTCTGTGTGAAATAGCACAAGGTACAAACAGCACCTGTCCGTGACGTGTTGTACAGAGCAGCGGGAGGTTAAATACGAATAAAAGTGAGCCCTGGAGATAACAAGTGTTTGCCTGTGGGTTTGTGTGTGTGTAGGGGGGGAACATTCATCCCGTTCTAGAGGCATGGCGTGAGCTGCTCTACCTGTATAAAAACGACCCGAGGAGGGTGCAGCGCTCCTGGAAAGAACATTCCCCGCCGGTGCTGTCCTGGATTCCCATTTCCTCCAGCCCTGCTGCCCTTGACGGCTCCCGCACGGAGGGACAGGGGAAGGCGGCCGGGTTCGCGCTGACGCCTTTTCCTGTTCCTCCCGCCCTCTTCCCCCCGTCTTCCCCAGCGCGGGGCGGGAGAAGGAGCCGGATCCCTTGTGCCGCCACGCCGAGGGGCCGGGATTGGTGCGGGAATTCCGGGAATGGCGGGATGGCGGGCGGGGAGCGGGGCGGGGCCGTCATGGCGGCCGCGCTGAGGGGGCGGGCGCGTGCCCGTTGCCATGGGAACCGCGTGGGGCCGGGATCGGGATCGGGACAGGGATCGGGACCGGGATTCGGAGCCTCATCCCCCGGTCCCGGCTCTGCCCAGGAGGGACGGGGGAGACGCGGGAGGGCTCTGGCCGTGCCCTCGGGGGCCGGGAAAGGCGGTTCGGGTAGGACGGAGGGCGGTGCGGGAAGAAGGGGCAGCCGGCCCGGGGTTGGGAGGGCGGCGCGGCGCTGCCGGGCCATGTCAGGTCACCGCAGGGCGGTGACACAATTGTAGGGTTACGATTGCGATTGATAAACTAAAACACAAGAAAAACGAGGGAGAACTTTAGGCTGGGGGCGGCAGAGCGCTGGAACAGCTCCCCAGGGAGGGCGTGGAGTCTCTGGAGACATCCCAGTCCCACCTGGGCGCGTTCCTGTCTCACCTGCTCCAGGTGACCCTGTTTTGGGAAAGGGGTTGGACTGGATGATCTCCAGAGGTCCCTTCCAAATCCAGCTATTCCGGGATTCTGTGAGGAGAGGGAACTTTGTTCCCCACACAACAGATCCCTGTGTGCCAGGCTTGGAGTCGGTATCCAGGTGGGAAGGGTAAAGGTTGCTCCCACGCCACCAGGATAAGGAGGAAACGGCCTCAAGGTGCGCCAGGCGAGGTTTAGACTGGATATTAGGGAATATTTAATCACCAAATAGGCATTGGAAATATTTTCGTCACCAAATAGGCTGCCCAGGGAAGTGGTGGAATCATCACCTATGGAAATGTTAAAAAATCGTGTGGAAGTGGCACCTGGGGACACGGTTTAGTGGTGAACTCGAGGATGGTGCTGGATTAATGGTTGGACTCGATGACCTGAGGGGGCTTTTCCACTGAAGTGTTGTGTGAAATAGCTGCACCTTGAGTGCTCTGCACACTTCTGGCCTACAGATAATTAATTAACCAGTTAATTAATGATGTAGTGCAAGTGGCAAAGACATCTCTGAGAATAACTATGAAGATGATTTAAGGTCTAAAATAGCTACTCTGCTAAGAATTCTAGGATATTTTCAGAACAGAGACAACTACTGGTTGAACATGTTTTTGCTTATCTTTACTATCTGTAAGGTCAGTGGCTAAATCTATCAAACTTAGTGAGGTCTAATCTAATTGTAAAGTTAGTTACCAACCTGAAGGACACTGAAACCAGAAATTGTCTGAATTTCAAATGCAGTGTCCTTAAATAAGTGGACTCCTTATCTCCACAAGCTTTTTCCCAATCACAGAACCGACCTCAATCAATTAAAATCGATTTTCCAATCAAGGTTTCTATCATTCTTTGATCTTCCATACCCAGAGCCCTGTGGGCTGTGCAGAGGCGCTGGACTCTGCTCTCTGCACTTGTTAATCCTTAGTGCGCCTTCTCCAGTGGGTCTCAGCCCACAAGATACACACAAGCATTTGGGCATTTAATTGCTGCATTAATTACTCAGTGCAGGGTGTGCCTTTAGAAGTATTAAGGGATTTGTTTTCCCAGACTGAAGGTGCACAAGGGTTTTTTGCTGGCAGTAAAACGGAAGGAGAAGGAGCTGGAATACTCGGTGCTTAGAAATTTTGGGGAAAGATGTAAACCACAGTCTTGGTGGCTACTGCCCAAAGGGAACAAAAAACACGCCCAAAACCAGGGGGATTTGCACCTTTCCTGAACGTGGGAAGTCTCCTTTAGTCAAGGAGGGCTGGATGGCCCCAAGCAGTCCATGTTCCTTTTAGCCTCGTTGCTTGGATTTGGCCCCAGCCTGCTCTTCTTTAAAAATATTTATTTAAACAGATCTGTTTGGAGAAGGTTTTAAAGCACTGAATTCTGGAGTGGAAAAGACCTGCCTGTTTAAAAGCCATTTAAGGAGAAAGGCACTTGAAGCAGGGGCGTGGGGCTGGAAAGGAGGAGGAGGAGGTGGTGGGAGACTCTGCAGGGGTCAGTGAGGAAAAGCTGCAAAGCAGCTGCCAGAAGAGGATGTTTTTTTCAAAGCAATGCTGATCTCTGCTCCCTGTCACTTTTTATTTCGTTATGCTTTTAGTAAACAATGGAGTCAGACATAAAAGCGAACCAAGATTTTAAAAGCCAGTTTAAGGCTTATCAGAAGCAACAGCAGAGGCGGCTGCAAAACGTGATGGAGAGGAAGAAGGAGAAGCAGAACAGTCAGAAGGATAATGGCAGCACAAGGGAGACTTTAGGAGCTCCAAATGATCTAAACCTGTTTGAAATAGGACAACCTGTAAACGAAGATGGCAGCAACAGGTAAAGGTGTAGCAGGACCCACGGAAGTGTGTTTGGCTCACGACCTTATGAAATAAGATCTTATGATCAGTATTATTAAGTTGACAGGGCACTTTCTGCCTTCAATCTTGGCCTTTCATTGTCCTGAGAAGACTCTCCCTAACATGTTTACCCTCAGGGCACTGTGATTATTTATTGTCGTTTATTATCAGTGTCTCACAAAGGAAGGGTGCAAGGACAGAGGGGGTGAGGGTGACATGTGAGGGGCAGCCAGGTTCTATCTGACAAAATCCAGTCATTTGGGATCGCTGGCAGTCTCTGCACTGTTGGTTAGTTCCTGCCTAACCTTTAAGCAAACAGGTTCCCTGCATGAGGAATTCCCAAAGGTGGATGTAGGCAAAGCAGCAAAAGGGAGCAAGCCAAAGGCCTGCAGTGCAGAAAAGTGTTCCCTGGGCTGTCTTTGCAATATATCCCGATTCAGAGGATCCCAACATTCCCAGGGCACTGGGCATTCTGGTGTGGATCTCCCTCAATCTTGGGTGTTTTGTTTTTTTTAAGCTGAGTACATAACTGAGTTTACTGGAGCAGAGATCTGAACCCCCTGCTCAGATCACTTCTCTTCCTCCCAGGATATCATCAGCCTTTCCTTCTGACCCTTTCACTAACTAGAACAGGTCTGAAGTTGGGCACACCCCAGAGGTGTCTGCAGTGTTGGCTGTTCAGGGATTTGCTCTGTGTAAGTGGTGAAGCCAGCTGAAGAAATTCCTGCTTCTGCTCCATGCTCAGCCAGCTGTTTGCTAGAAAGCGGATACACCCTCCTGGGCAAGGGTACTTTTTATCTCAAGTCTTTTCAGTGATTTAATTTACAGCTTTAGCCCCACAGACTGTTCCGTTGGCACCACGATGGGGTGATGGGCTGTGATACAGGGGCAGGAAAGAAGAGCTGGAAGCTCTTCTCTCTGGGTGGAAAACCACAGTTAGGAATATACCTCTGAGAGAGTTCCCTCTCCCAGAATCCAGCTTGGGGAAGGGCATCTCTCCCAAGGTTTAAATCCAGCCACTAACTAAGGTTTTTAGTTCCCAAATGCTGATCTTCCCTCTGTGTTATACCCTGCTCAGCTGTTTCTGAAAGTTGCTCCCTCGAGCACCCAAGTGCTGCAGTAGAGCTGCTGTGAAGGTGGAGGGAACCCTGGAGTGAACCACTGAACCTTTCAGGTGCTTCTGGGAACGTGTTGTTCGTGCTGCAAAGGAAATCTGAGTGGAAACAGGGAGCTGAGCTTCTAGAAATTAATGTTCTCACCATTGCATCGTTGTCTTCTTCACACACTGGTCCCTCACCAGGGCTGTCTGATTTGCCAAGCTGTGCTCCTGGCCTGACCTCTACCACCTGTCCTCTTCCCTTCAACATTTTGTCGTGGTAATCTTTAGAAGATTATGATGGAGATCTGATTTTTTTTTAAAAAGATTTTTGGGAGGCCGATTCCCATTGTTCAGATGTTTGGCTGGTGGAGGAAAGGGGTTTGGGTGCTCCCATGGCACACCCTGTGCAATGTGCATCCCCTGAGGTGCAGAGTACAGGAGAGTCCCAGCAGTTCCCTGCTATTTACAGGTCGGTGGTTTGAGCCTGAGTAATCCCAGAGTTATCATTTACCTCTGTTCCAGTGGCACTGGCTGTTAAAAGTCCCCATTTGAGACAGCAGATTTATCTATATTGCCCTTTGCTTATTTACATCTGCATTCAGCAAAAGAGTGGCTATGAGTGTATCAAATCCAAACAGGATTTGCTTCTGGAAGATTCACCAGGGATTCACCAGGTTGTGCTTTGCAGTATTCCCGTGACAACACGTTAGAAACTTGTTCCAGAGGAGCAGCAAGCACTCCATGTGTGCTGCAGGGACAGTGATTTGGGCCTGTCAGTGTTGTTTATAGCAGCACTTGGAAAACATTCTCCCCTCAGAAGTCTCCCTCCCTCTGGGCCTCGGCAGTTCATTTTTCCTTCCTCCCGTCCTACTCCCAAATCTTGTTTAAGGGAGCGTTTAGCTGACATTTCTTCCCTTCTGATTTGTTCTCTCTGTAACTTTTCCCTCCCTGCTCTGTTTGTGTCTTTAAGTGATTCTCCCCATCACATGGAGCTGGGAAAGACACAATTTAACAAAAGTTAAATTCCTTTTTCAGGGTAATTTTTGTTTCTTTCTTTTTTTTTTTTTTTTTGCCTAAAAGGGGCACACAATGTGGGGAATCACCTGAATTCCTGCTCACAAGCTTCACCTGCCTCTGTTTCCTTGAATAAAGTGAAAAGAGTCACCTTTTGCAGCCTGTTTCTTTTGGCTGATATTCTGCAGCTGAGGCACTTGGGTGGAATCTCCTGCCCCTTCTGTAACATGTGGGGTCACTCTGGGATGGGAAGTTTCTCAGAGGAGACTCCAGCTCAGTGCAGTTGGGATTTCTGGGCTCTTCCTCAAGACTTGGAAGCCAGCTCTGAGCAAGACATCCCTGATCAGGTGTGCTAAGAGCTTAGAACTTTCCTTTCATGTTAATCCCATAACTCTTAAAAATCCCTTTGTCCCTGTGTCCCTAATTGGATCTGAGTTCTGTTGCTCGCTTCTGTGAGTGGTACATGTGGGAATAACTTTAGCTGTGCCATTTCTCAGCTCACACTGCTGCCTGCTTTCTTCTCCTTTGTAAACAGC